TTTCCGAGAATGACTAGTGGGAACAGGAATGTTCCTGGCCCTGTGTGAGTGTCCTGCACTGTTTTCTAGTCCCTTCGGGTGGGCTCTCTCCAGCCTTGGGTAGTTTCCTCAGTCCCTGCACTGATCTGTTCTCTGCTGGATACTCAGCTCTCTGCTGGGCTCAAGAAGGGGATGATCTTATAGGTTATCTGTGTTTTTCTCAATATTAGGATGGTAGCTCTTTCTTTTCAACTGTATACATTCCAAGTGAAAGTAGAAGCTCCCATGTAATAATTTTCAATCCAACTAAACCTGCATCCTTTATGTTCTCTTAGCATTAAATATTCATTAACCAGTATTTACTGTATCAGAACAGTGTCCTTTTCAGATAATCCCTGTACTTCCTCTTTCACGATGCTTATCACCATGCATTTTAATTGCCTGTTTACTTCTGGTTACCTCCCTCGATTGTAAATTCCATGAGAACAGGGACCCTTTCTGCCCAGTCATTGGTGTGTCCCCAGGCCTGGCTCTGTACCTGGAATGTGGTAGGTACTGAGTGTTTGTTGAATGAGAAACTGGATGTGTGATCCACTCTTGAGTTGCCTTCCCGTGTCTCAAAGTCCTCGGGCTCGGGATCATCATCAGGATTATGGTGTGTTGACAGTGTGGGCCAAGCCCCTTCCCCGTGCTGAACTGTCACGCTCCTCATCCTGGGAAATGAGTTGGCTGGGAAGGCTTTTGATTGTCTAATTTCTCCTCCCCTCACTCAGGCGCTAAAGTTCAAGCCTGTCAATCCTGGTTTTGTCTGTCCCTCTCAGAACTACTGTCTTTTTACGAGAGCCTCTCCTGGGAATTGCTGAGGACCTTTGTTCTCCTCGCCCTTGCCAGGGGCCATTCTCACCCTTCCTCACCACCTAATACCTCCTTATCAGGCGCCTTCGGTGTCCGCTCCTGTTTCCACACTGACAGGCCACTTTTGTCAATGTCCTCATTTCACTGCAATACCACTCGTGATACTGGCTCAGGACTTATCAACATTTTGTAATTCAAAATACCTGACCTTTCACCTTGTGTGTTTATGAATCTTTAGCATCTCGAGTCTTCTTTTTTCTTCTAGGTTAGTGTTTAAAAATTTTTTTATGTTATAGTTTTAAAACGTATTGATTGAGAAGTTAAAATCCAAGCATTATGTAGCTGGAATTTTGCTTTGTGTGTGTTTTTTCCCCTTGGTCTTCCTTCCTTTTCTAACTCTATGTGCACTATTTTGTTAGTGTGTTTGTACCAGCTCTTTGGTATCTGAGTTGGAGCCAAATTAAGATTTTGTCATATTATGGTTCCATTATGGGTTGTTCCACTTGTTTTATTTATGGATCAGGATCATGCTTTTGGTGTGTATCTAAGAACTCTTTGTCTAACCCAAGATCACAAAGATTTTCTCTCAAGTTTTCTTCTAAAAGTTTTACAGTTTTACACTTTATTTTTACTTTTTTAATCCTCACCTGAGGATATTTTTTCCATTGCTTTTCAGAGAGAGTGGAAGGGAGGAAGAGACAGAGAGAAACAAGGATGTGAAAGAGACACATTGATTGGTTGCCTCCTGCATGTGCCCCAACCTGGGCTGGGGATCGAGTCTGCAACCGAGGTACATGCCCTTGGTCAAAATTGAACCCAAGACCCTTCAGTCCACAGGGTGATGCTCTAACCACTGAACCAAACCGGCCACGGCTGCACTTTACTTTAGATCTATGATCCACTAATAATAGAGCCACCTTGTTGATAGCTACGAAAAACTCTGCTGAAATTTTGACTGGATTGTTGAATTCATAGATCAATTTGGAGGTCATGGGCATATTAATATTGAGCATTCTAATCCATGAGTATGGTATATCTTTCCATTCGTAGGACTTCTTTGATTTCTTTCATCAGTATTTTGTAGTTTTCAGCAAACATTTATATACCTAAATATTTTTGGGGTGCTATTATAAGTGGCATTGTTTATTGAATACCAGAATCTAATTGTTCATTGGGAATATGTAGACATACACGCCTTGGTAAGCACACTTATTTTTCCTAGGAAGTTTTTTTGTTGTTGTCAGGAGATCTCTATAGACCATCATGTCTTCAGTGAATAATAATCATTTTATTTCTCCCTTTGTACTGTACGCTTTTATTTCTTGCCTTATTGTGTGGCCAGGACATCCTATATTGTGTTAAGTAGACGTGTTCAGAGTAGACATTCTGGCCCTGTTTCCGACCTTAAGGGGAAAACGTTGACTCTCACCGTTAAGGATGGTGTGAGCTCTAGGTTCTGTCAGACTCTCTTTGTCCTGCTAGAGGGTTCCCCTTCAGTCGTACTCAGCCAAGAGTAGTTTTTATTGTGAATGGATACTTACTCTTGTCAAACGCTTTTTCTGCATCTATTGAGATGACCATGTGAATTTTTAAAATATGTTAAGATGGTGAACAACACTGATAGATTTTCTAATGTTGAACCAGCCATGGCTGGGATTTGTGGAGTCAATCCCCCTCGGTCCTGATGGGTTGTCCCTTTTGCTGGATTTGATTTGCTAATATTTTGTTTAGGACTTTTTGTGTCTGTATTACTGAGGGACATTATTCTGAAGTTTTCTTTTCTTGAGATATCTTTGTCTGGTTTTGCTATTAAGATATTATAGCCTCATAAAATGAATTAGAAAGAATTTCCTCCTCTTTTATTTTCTGGTGGAAATTATGTAGAATTAGTATTATTCCTTAAATATGTGGTAGAATTCACCATTAAAACTATCTAGGCCTGGCATTTTGTTGTTGTTTTGTTTTTTGGTAGGAAGATTCTTAATGGCGTCAACTTTTTATAATACATGTAGGTTATTCAGATTTTTTGTTTCTTCTTGAGTGAATTTTAGTAGCTTATGTCTTTCAGGGAATTGGCCTCCTTCATCTGAGTTGTTCAGTTTATGGGTATATCATGGCTCAGGGTGTTTATTATCCTTACTGTCTGTGCGATATACTCTTTTATTCCTGAAATTGATCATTTTTACCTTCTTTTCAAAGATTTTTTATTGATTTTTTTAGAGAGAAAGGAGAGGGAGAGAGAGAGAAACATTGATGTGAGAGTGAAACATCAATCAGCTGCCTCTGCGTGCTCCCCATGGGGACTGAACCCACAATCTGGAATGTGCCCTGACCAGTAATTGAACTCTCGACCTGTTGGTGTGTGGGACAGTGCCCAGCCAGCTGAGCACACCGGCCGGGCCCCTAGCGCTTCTTTAAAGCAAGCCTACTGATGACAGATTCTCTTCATTTTTATTCATTTGACAGTGTCTTTGATTTACCTGCATTCCTGGAGCATAAAATTTGCTAAGAGAAAGTTCTGTGTTGACAGTTCTTCCTTCCCCGTCAGAGCGGCTTGTTTTAGTGTCTGCTGGGACAGCGTCATGCACACGGCGGCCCCTCTGCACTGTCCTGTCGTTTTGCTCTGGCTGCTTGCAAGATTGTTTTTTAATCTCTGGTTTTCGGCAGTTTTTTATGATGATGTTTCCAGGTATTATTTTTTAATAATTTATCCTGTTTAGGTTTTTAGCTTCTTGAATCTGAAAAATATGTCTTTCACTAAATTTGGGAAATTTGGAGCCATTATTTCTTTTAAGTATTTTTTCTCTGCACAGATATCTTTTTTCTCCTTCAGGGATAAAATACCACAATGATATTGTTCTTTTGATATTATCCCACAGGTTCCTGAGGCTTATTTCATTTCCCCCCAATATTTTCTTCCCTCCTTTACATTGTATAGTTTCTACTGACCTAGCTTCAAGTTCACTGGCTCTTTCTTTCTTTAAAAAAATTTTAAAATTTATTTTAGAGAGCGAGAGGGAGAGAGATTTGTTGTTCCACTTACTTATGCCTTCATTGGTTGATTCTTGTATGTGCCCTGTCCTGGGATTGAACCCATAGCCTTCGCTTATGGGGATGACACTCTAACCAACTGAGCTACCTGGCTCTTTCTTCTGTCCTCTTCTATTATGAGCTTATCATGTGAATAGTTGGTGTTTTTTTTTAAAGTATTGTGTGATTTGCTCTAGCCTGCATGGCTCATGGCACACACCCAGGTTGTGGGTTTGAACCCAGGTCAGGGTGCACACAGGAGGCAACCGACTGACGTTTCTCTCTCTCCCCTTTTCCCTTCCTCTCTCTCTAAAATCAATAAAAACATATCCTCAGATGAGAATTTTTTTTTAAGAAAGTATCATGTGATTCTAACGTACAGAAAACTTTATACCCCCAGGCCTCAGTGTCCTCACCTAGAGCTTGAGGATGACAACGCCTGCCTTTCCACCTCCCAGGGTCGCCGGGGCCTTAAACAGTGTCTGGGATGCTCAGCAGTTTGCACTGTAGTGCAAGTGACCAGATTTAGTCAGGGAGTCGAGACCAACTGATGCCCAAGGAGTTCCATTAGCAGAACACACAGGGTGTCCTTGTTCAGGACCCCGCCAAGAATCAAAAGGCTGATGAAACAGACATTCCCATGGTTTCAGTAGTGGAAACAGGCTAGCGGCCAGCCAGTCAGTGCATGGCTGCAACCTCTCACTGTCGCCCAAGTTGTGACTGCACTTGACAAACAGTCCCAAGGGTTTTCTGGGGATACAGACACATTTGCTGTCAGCCATGGGGCAGGCTGCAAGGGCGAAGACCGAGGCTGGGGCCAAGTGCCAAAAGCACAGAGGAGGGGGTGGTCGGGAATGAAGCTCCTAAGTTAGGCTGCTGGTCAGAGAATCACTGTATATAATTGTGATGGGTCACAGGCTGGAGCCCCAAAGACCTGTTCTCATACTTGCTGAGTACTTAGTGGTGTACCCACCACAGTTGTTTCAGTATTAGCACTAATATGGTGATGCCTAATGCATTGGCATTGGCTATTTTGTTAATGTCTAATAAAATGTGACACGTTTCAAATACCTTTAAATGTACAAATTAATTTAAAGTAAGCATGTCAGCTAAGGCTATTCTCTTATTATTAACAGAACATCCAGGGCATCTCCAAGCACCCAATTCAGGTGACTAGACCTCAGAATTATAAAGGTAAGGTGTCTCCTTCCTTTGCTAAAGGCGTGGGTAACGTTTTTAAAAACTCCGAGTGTTCGTGATCGCCTTTCTGTCGCTTCTCAGAGGCTCTTCTCTGTTTGCCTGGCCGGGCTTAAATATGGGATGAAAAGTAGAACACAGCTGAAGGGGGGCCCTGGCAGCTGGCTCCCCACTTACAGCAGAGGATCACGCAGAGCCAACAGCTCGCTCCCCGTGCCCACACTGGCCTCCCGGTGCCGGTGCCTGGAAAGCGGGACAGACTTTCACAAAGCTGAAGCTCCTGGGGATGCTGTGGATGCGCCTAAGGCCTCCTACGCCCCACTCCGTGCCCACGCTGTGTCCCCGAAAAGAAAAAGGCAAATGGGGGCGAGCCGGCCTGTGCCCTTCCCAGAAGACCCCACCTGCCCTCTGCCGTGGGAACCGCGGCCCCGGGCCAGGTGGCAGTGCAGCGGGGGCAGCGGCTTTGCAATATCGGTACTGGGGTCGGTCAGGACCCCGCGAGATCCTGAGCACCCCTGTCCCCCTGGCCCTTTGTAACCAACTTTGCCAGGAGCCCTGGGAGCTCGCGCTGCCCGGGCCCCGGCTCAATGGCCAGCCCCGCGTCATTCCCAGCGCGCCGCGCCACAGGGTCAGTGCTGACCTTTCATTCACGAGCAGCTCTGCACAGAGCAGAAAACTAGCAGATCGATTTGCGCTCAGTAATAATACGATATTTTAAAATTGCATTAATGAAGATATGATGTTAAAATAACATTGTATGAAGAATAGTAGGGGTCAGCTCATGACCAGCTCACCATGTGCCCTTCGCCCCCGACTCAGGGAAGGAGGGGGTCCTCACCGTCTCGCCCAGGACCGCGTTTGTCTCAGCCAGAGGCCACACCTTCCTGGCAGCAGGTAGGGGCCCACTGAGGCAGAGACACTGTGGTCAGTGTGCTGACTTTATGCGTTCCATACACTTAAAATATTGAGAAATGAAATAATTCAAAGATATTTATAAAACTCATTCTTTAAGATAAACCCCAAGGCAAATACTTATCTGAAGCAAAGATTTCTTATGCACAGTAAGAACAGGCCTGCTTCCAGGGTCCCTCACGTCACCATATCTAGAACACAGGTTCCCCTGCACAGTCCCACTCAGCCTGCCCTCCTGTCTCCTCTCTGTGCTCATCACTTGGCCCTGCCGGCCGCTCTGCTGTCTTCCCCCTCAGGCCCTGCATGGAATCCTCCTCCCCAGGCAGTGTCTCGCTCCCTCCTTGGCCTCCTCCGTGCCTGTGCTCAGATGTCCCTGTCTTTACGAGGGGCACACTGACCACTGTAACAGCAGCATTTCCCTCCACCCACCATCCCCTTATCCACCCTTCCATTTCAGTCCCATCTAATGTACACTCATCACCCTGTCCTGGAGTGAGCTCCATGAGGAAAGAGACTTGTCTGTTTTGTTCACCGGCGTATTCCAAGCACAGAGTTTGGCACACAGTAGGCCCTTTCTGAAATCCTAATGCAGATGGAGGGATACAGCCCACCCTGGAGGCATTGCCTTCCACTCTTGTGGAAGGCAGAGGGGTCTCTTGTACTTGCAGACACAGGGGTGGCCAGTAGCCCTGCACCAAACGACCTTGGCAGAGGGGAGGGGTGTTGACCTTGAGGCCGAGGTGGGGAGGGAAGGCTGAGGGTGGACAGGGGTGGAGGTAGCAACAAGGGACACTGTGGACAGGTTCTGAGCTAATGCAGGGCTCTTTCTCCCAGACTTTTCACAGATTGAATTGCGCATTCTTGCACACTTATCTGGGGATCCAGAACTTTTGAAGTTATTCCAGGAATCAGAAAGAGATGATGTATTTTCTACCCTGACTTCACAGTGGTAAGATACATGAGCTCACAATATTATCAGATCTGCAGGAATGCCTACATTTTAAAAGCCTGAAGTTATTCTGAGGCTATTTCATAGGAGAGAAATCATGTATTTCTCTAGTGGTTAATCTTTTTGAGAAGAGCAGATAACTAGGAAGCCAAGAGTTTCCTAATTATGAAAACTGGTAACTCTTTACCACTAAAAAGGAAGTAGATTGCTAAAGAATGTAATAAAGATACTGGAAAAATTCAAAGTGCAAGTCACGAGCTCCCTCCAGTTGAGTGGTAGTGTGAAGAGCCCAGGGCGACAGGGAACACTGCAGCCCCACCCCCACCAAGTGGGCCTGGAGCACTTCGGGCTGCAGGTGACAGTCCCTGCCCCACAGTTACTTACGCTCAAGAGAATGCCAGAGGCAGATGGCCTCAGGTTGTGTTAGGCAGCTCAACAGTGTCATCTAGCACCTATCCTTCTTTCTGTGCCACTATAGTCAGGATGCTGGCTTTTCCTGGCTGTGAAATACCTGCTCCCCGTCTCCAAAGCAGGAGGGAGAGGGAAGGTGCGGGGCTCTCCTCCCATGTCATCCCTTTGGTCAGGAGGGTAAGAGCCCTGCCCGGGAGCCCACTGCAGGGGACTGACCGACCGCTGCACCTCACTTCCAGAGCGGGCTATAAGCTAACATAGCTGCAAGAGAGGCTGGTAAAGGGCATGCTCTAGAACACAGAGGCCCAGTCACAGTTTCTCACCAAGTACAGGTCCATCACTGCCTGGAACAAAGTCAGATTCTGCTACCAGGAAGTAGAGGGGCCACAGTGGGCTGGCTGTTGGGGTGGTCACTGCCCCTGCTGTCATGGTCCCCCTCCTTCAGCAGCTGAGGCGCACCCCCCTCTCCCTCAGCCTTTTCCCTCCTACTGCTCCCTTCTGTGGACCTCCTTACCCTCCCTTCCCACCTTTCTCATCACCCTGGTCACTGGCAGGAGTCTCGCTAGAGACGACATTCCACCGTGGCTGTTCCTCTGTCCTCAAGCCCCTGCACCTCCTCCTGTGCACCCGCCTCTGTCACTGTCACTGTCCTTTATGAAAGCATCTGAGCTCTGTGAGGGCGTGGCCATGTCCCGTTGTCCAGTGCAGGTGCTGGCCACTCTGCCCCTCCCTGCCTCCCACCCTCTCCAGCCACCGGGCTGGTCCAGGCCCACGCCTCACTCAGGCCTTCCCCTCCTGAGGGCTTGGGAAGCTCTTTCCCCGAGTGTCCACAGGGCTCATTCCTTACCAAGTCAGTGGTTTTAGTCCATTCACAAGGTTTTGCAGCCATCTCCACTGTCTAATTCTAGAACATTTCCATCACCCCGAAGAGAAACCCCGCACCCATTAGCCACCACTCCTTGCTCTCCCCTCCCCCATGGAAAACACTGACCTGCTTCCTGCCTCTGTACATGTGTCTGGGTATTTCACATCAATGGGATATCATCTGTGGCCTCAGATTCTGGCTTCTTTCACAGAACATGTTTTCAAGGGTCAACCCTTGGGGCCCATACCTCCTCTACGTCTGGAATCCGGATAGTCAGAGCCTCCACTGGGATGTTCCATCTAAAGCTGGGGTTGGGGCCTGTTTGCAGAGAGCACAGGAGAGTGAGGGGAAGCCTCCGGCACCAGCCCCAGTGGCAGCACCTGGAGGAACTCTGTCCTGCTGCCTGGGGAGCACCAGGAAGGGCCCAGCAGGAGCTGGAGCCTGCGACACTGAGGCCCCAGCTCCCACGGGAGGGGCAGCAACACTCCATCCCTCCTTCCTTCCACCCTCCAAGACCTGCTGGTGCCTCTGTTGGCCTAACCCAGGTGAAGCTGGTGGACACCAGAGCCATCTGTGGAGTCCAGTCCCTCAGGGCACCCCAGGGATCTAGGGAGGCAAAATGGAAGATGCCACCCAGGAACCCACTGAGAAGGACGTCAAGGGTGTAGAATCCAAACATTACCCACTTTATTCTGATGAAGCCAGACTGGAAAGAGAGGCATGCACTGAAAGGAGGGGTGGGTGATGGGGCAGAGAGAGCAAAAGCCCCAGGCCCTCAGGTGCAGAGCATCGGGAGGTGTGAAGGTGAGAGAGGTGGGAAGAGCTTATCCCACCTGGAGCATGGGAGGCCTTGGGTGGGGTGCAGCACCTCTGTCCTGAGCCCCAGGCCAGCAAATCCATTTCTCAGCAGTGGTGTCCCCGGCTATGCCATGAAATTCAAACTCAGCAGGTCTGCAGGGAGCTCAGCACCAGCGCCCAGTCCCTGCAGGGGCCATCCTGACTGCCCCCTTCCTCCTCACCCCCTGACACCGCGATTTCAGCCAGGCCTGTGGTCCCTCTTACCTCAGGACCCCTTCCCTCTGCAACCTCCTCCACCTACTGTTGTAATAACTTCCCTCAGGCCCCCACTGCAGTCATGTATCCCTGCTTATCTCACGAAGAGGCAGTCTGGTCGTGTGACCCCACTGGGCCTTCACTGGCTAATAACACTCACCCCCAACCCAGGAACCAGGCGGACCATTGCAACTGCATGTGACCCCCACAGCGCCCTGTGAGACTCAGGGTGCTACTGCTCACGATGGGACAGAAGAAGCAGGAGGTTCCTTTTGTGAAGGTGTGTGACCACCTGCTTGGGAAACCAAGGGAGTCGCCTAAAGAGAACTTGACGCTAGGACCTGGCAGAGGACTGGGTGGGCTGAACTGGGCAGAAAGGCCTCCCTAAATATAAACAGCCAGTCAGCAAGAGGAATGGAGGAATAATGCAGTGAAAAATTTATAATACGTTTGATCGCAGAATAAGTGTGCAGGACCTAGACGAAGAAAAGTTAGAGAAACACGGGCACCACCATAGGAAACCTGTTTTGTCAAGACGTTACTTCTCCTTCCACGAATCTGTAGAGAGTGTCCTAGTAAGTGCACCAAAAAAATTCAGAATTCTTTAGTAACTAGACAAACTAACCGCCAAAAATAATCCACTATTAATTGAAAAACTTTGAAGAGGAGCAATAAGGAAGACCAAGTCCTACCAGATACTCAAGTAAATTATAAAGGCACAGTTACTGAAACACTGCAGTGTGGGTGCAAACAGAATGGAGCAATGGAAGAAACAACATCCTGCCCGGCCTGTGTGGCTCAGCGGTTGAGCATCGACCTGGGATCCAGGAGATTGAGGTTTGATTCCCGGTCAGGGCACATTCCCCGGGCTGCAGGCTCGATCCCTAGCACAGGGCGTGCAGGAGGCAGCCGATCAATGACTCTCATCATTGATGTTTCTATCTCTCCCTCTCCCTTCCTCTCTCTGAAATCAATAAAGATATTAAAAAAAAAGTCCAAAAATCCACCTATGCATGAGTTCCTGTATAATGGAGACGTTAACTCAACAGCAGGCTCTTGAGTGATGTGCTGCGTCCCCGTGGCCCAGAGCTGTGGGACAGCCGTGGTTTCTGTGGCGCCAGCGCTGTGTGTGCAGGGAGGGGACTCTTACTAAACAGCGAGTCTCACCAGCACGGGAGTGGATTGGGATACGACGTGCTAACTGGCATTATTCCCTGGGCAAGAACACGATCAGGACAACCTCTCACAAGAAGGGAATCTTGTGAGATGATTCTTACAGGACACAGCAACCAATTCTGAAGTCTGGGAGTCTTGCGAGACTTCCAGGGGGAAGTCCATGGAAGAGTGAGGCTGCAGTGAGGAGTCCTGCCCGTTTCCACATTGGACAGGGATCCTGCAGGATATTCAGGTGGATCTCCCCCAAAGCAGGCCTGTGAGCGATGGTCTTCCCTGCACAGCTGCAGAGCACAGGAGGCTCACCTTCGTTTCTTCCGAGGCTCCAGTGTGCGGTGTTTGATTATGAAGACCTGGTTTTTAAGGCCAGATTCTGGCGTTTCTTTAGTCAGCACTATAAAGGAACGAAAGCAGACCCAGCTGCAGGAAGAACTGAGGAGTTGTTCACAATAAGAGGGAGGCGAGTGCACAGCACGCGGTTTCTTCTTCAGGGGCTTCCGAGGGAGTGCGGACAGGAGGGGGCGGCTATGGGTTTGGCAGCCCGGCAGTCCTTGGGGAGTTGCGACAGGCAGACCCCAGGCTTCCTGTGGGTCTCACCCATTCAGAGTGAGGCGAGATGGTTGACCTGTGACCTCACTTCAGAACGATGCAGCTGCTGGGCAAGCACCTGGGGATCCAAACACAGAGGTCACTTTTCCAGGACTCCCAGTTTTGGTAGAGAATGCTCCGTAGTGTTGGTCATCTTCAGCTGTGGCAGGCAGGTGCCCGGCCAGCCTCGTGCTGAGTGTTGGGCTGTGGTGAGGGCCGGCGAGTCTGAGAGGGGTGCCTGACCTTGCTGTGTGTCTGCGATGAATTCATGCCCCGCCCCACTCTGAGCCCCACTTCTCTCTCCCGCCTTGGGCTGCAGCTGGCATCCCGTCCTGTGCCTGCCCTCAGGTGCAGTCAGCCGCGCCCCAGCCTTGCCCGTCTTCGTGAACGTGCTGAGGTCTCTTGCCTGCTGCAGCCCCTCTCCCATGCTCTGCTTTCTCGCAAAGTCTGTCCTTCCCATTCCTCTGCTTCATTTTAGTGGAACCTGGGGAGTGAGCGGGGCTGGGGAGGGAGGGAGGGAGG